CACTGAGGCTTACAGAGCCAGACTAAGGCTCCCATAGGGTTTAGTGTTAATCACTGAGACTCACAGAGCCAGACTCAGACTCCCATAGTGTTGTATTACTCACTGAGACTCACAGAGCCAGACTAAGGCTCACTCCCACAGGGTTCAGTGTTAATCACTGAGACTCACAGAGCCAGACTGAGACTCCCACAGGGATCAGTGTTAATCACTGAGACTCACAGAGCCAGACTGAGACTCCCACAGGGTTCAGTGTTAATCACCGAGACTCACAGAGCCAGACTAAGGCTCCCACAGGGATCAGTGTTAATCACTGAGACTCACAGAGCCAGACTAAGGCTCCCACAGGGTTCAGTGTTAATCACTGAGACCCACAGAGCCAGACTGAGGCTCCCACAAGGTTCAGTGTTAATCACTGAGGCTCACAGAGCCAGACTAAGGCTCACTCCCACAGGGTTCAGTGTTAATCACTGAGGCTCACAGAGCCAGACTAAGGCTCCCACAGGGTTCAGTGTTAATCACTAAGGCTCACAGAGCCAGACTAAGGCTCACTCCCACAGGATTCAGTGTTAATTAGTGAGGCTCACAGAGCCAGACTAAGGCTCCCACAGGGTTCAGTGTTAATTACTGAGGCTCACAGAGCCAGACAAAGGCTCCCACAGGGTTCAGTGTTGATCACTGAGGCTCACAGAGCCAGACTAAGGCTCCCACAGGGTTCAGTGTTAATCACTGAGGCGCACAGAGCCAGACTAAGGCTCACTCCCAAAGGGTTCACTGTTAATCACTGAGACTCACAGAGCCAGACTAAGGCTCCCACAGGGTTCAGTGTTAATCATTGAGGCTCACAGAGCCAGACTAAGGCTCACTCCCACAGGGTTCAGTGTTAATTACTGAGACTCACAGAGCCAGACTAAGGCTCCCACAGGGTTCAGTGTTGATCACTGAGACTCACAGAGCCAGACTAAGGCTCCCACAGGGTTCAGTGTTAATCACTGAGACTCACAGAGCCAGACTAAGGCTCCCACAGGGTTCAGTGTTAATCACTGAGGCTCACAGAGCCAGACTAAGGCTCCCACAGGGTTCAGTGTTAATCACTGAGGCTCGCAGAGCCAGACTAAGGCTCCCACAGGGTTGAGTGTTAATCACTGAGACTCACAGAGCCAGACTAAGGCTCCCACAGGGTTCAGTGTTAATCACTGAGACTCACAGAGCCAGACTAAGGCTCACAGAGCCAGACTGAGACTCACAGAGCCAGACTAAGGCTCCCACAGGGTTCAGTATTAATCACTGAGGCTCACAGAGCCAGACTAAGGCTCCCTCCCCCAGGGTTCAGTGTTAATCACTGAGACTCACAGAGCCAGACTAAGGCTCCCACATGGTTCAGTGTTAATCACTGAGGCTCACAGAGCCAGACTAAGGCTCACTCCCATAGGGTTCAGTGTTAATCACTGAGACTCACAGAGCCAGACTAAGGCTCCCACAGGGTTCAGTGTTAATCACTGAGGCTCACAGAGCCAGACTAAGGCTCCCACAGGGTTCATTGTTAATCACTGAGGCTCACAGAGCCAGACTAAGGCTCCCATAGGGTTCAGTGTTAATCACTGAGACTCACAGAGCCAGACTAAGACTCCCACAGGGTTCAGTGTTAATCACTGAGGCTCACAGATCCAGACTAAGGCTCCCATAGGGTTCAGTGTTAATCACTGAGGCTCACAGAGCCAGACTAAGGCTCCCACAGGGTTCAGTGTTAATCACTGAGACTCACAGAGCCAGACTAAGGCTCCCACAGGGTTCAGTGTTAATCACTGAGGCTCACAGAGCCAGACTAAGGCTCCCATAGGGTTCAGTGTTAATCACTGAGACTCACAGAGCCAGACTAAGTCTCCCACAGGGTTCAGTGTTAATCACTGAGACTCACAGAGCCAGACTAAGGCTCACTCCCACAGGGTTCAGTGTTAATCACTGAGACTCACAGAAGCCAGACTAAGGCTCCGACAGGGTTCAGTGTTAATCGCTGAGACTCACAGAGCCAGACTAAGGCTCCCACAGGGTTCAGTGTAAATCACTGAGGCTCACAGAGCCAGACTAAGGCTCACTCCCACAGGGTTCAGTGTTAATCAGTGAGACTCACAGAGCCAGACTAAGGCTCCCACAGGGTTCAGTGTTAATCACTGAGACTCACAGAGCCAGATTAAGGCTCCGACAGGGTTCAGTGTAAATCACTGAGGCTCACAGAGCCAGACTAAGGCTCACTCCCACAGGGTTCAGTGTTAATCACTGAGGCTCACAGAGCCAGACTAAGGCTCCCACAGGGTTCAGTGTTAATCACTGATACTCACAGAGCCAGACTAAGGCTCACTCCCACAGGGTTCAGTGTAAATCACTGGGGGCTCACAGAGCCAGACTAAGGCTCACTCCCACAGGGTTCAGTGTTGATCACTGGGGGGCTCACAGAGCCAGACTAAGGCTCACTCCCTTAGGGTTCAGTGTTAATCACTGAGGC